GCTATATTCATCAAGGTGTAAGTCGGACAATTTATCCACGGATTTATGGCATTTCCAAAGCCAAAGAGGCATGGCAGATTCTCCAGCAAGAGATTCAAGGGAATGAGAAGGTAATATCTATCAAACTTCAAACAGCTTGGAATTTTTTTGATAACTTATCAATGAAGGAGGATGAATCAGTTTCAGATTATTTCTCAAGAGTAACAGAAATAGTAAATCAGATTAAAAGTTTTGGAGACGACATCCAAGAGAAGAGAATTGTTCTGAAAATCCTAAGAAGTTTAACATCTAAATTCGATCACATAGTTGCTGCCATTGAAGAATCGAAAGACCTATCAAATCTCTCAATGTTTGATTTGTCGGGCTCACTAGAAGCTCATGAAGAAAGAACACGAAGGTCAACAAGTCAGCCTCTGGAGCAGGCATTTCAGTCCCAAGCTAATCTCTCTAAAGCAAATTTTCATATGAAGAAAGGAGGTGAATTTCAAAAGAAAGGGCAGCTAGGAAGAAGCAATAGTGAGAATAATGCTTTCTCATGTAGCACAGGTAGAGAGGGGAGAGGAAATTCACAGCAAAGACAAGGAAGTAGCTCATTTTGCATCATATGCAAAAAGCCCGGTCATGAGTCATCTGAGTGTAGATATAGGTGCAAAAAATGCAGAATTCCCAATCATTCTCAGTGAGATTGTTGGCATCAACAGCAGGAGAAAGCAGAGGCTAACTTCTTACAAGAAGGAGAAGGGGATCAAGTGTTCTACACTTGCTTGAATGTCGAAGAAAAGTCAAGCAAGAGGTGGTTTCTAGACAGTGGATGTAGCAATCACATGACGGGAGACAAAGACATCTTTACTAAGCTTGATACAAGTGTTACAACTCAAGTAACTCTTGGAGATGGAAAATCAGAAAAAGTTGAAGGCAAAGGAACAATTTCTGTAGTATCAAAAGATGGAAACCAAAAGAGCATCATCGACGTTCTCTATGTACCACGTCTTGCTCACAATCTCTTAAGTGTTGGACAGCTGGTGCAAAAGGGTTACAAAGTGGTCTTTGATAATGGGGCATGTGAGATCACTGATAAGAAAACAAATGCTATTATCGCAAGAGCTGCAATGACTCGAAATAAAGTATTTCCTCTTGATATCCCGACTTGTAACAAGGTTGCGCTGAGTAGTGAAGTTGATGATGAGTCTCATCTTTGGCATTTGAGATATGGCCATTTACATCAGAACGGGCTACAATTGCTCAAAAGAACGGGCTACAATTGCTCAAAAGGAAAGAAATGGTAATTGGACTTCTAGAAATTAAAAGGCAGAGAGATGTATGTGAAGGTTGCATGTATGGCAAGATGCATAGGCTACCATTCCTGAAAACAACTTGGAGGGCAAAAGAGCCATTAGAGTTGGTGCATGCTGACATCTTCGGCCCAACCAAAACTCCCTCTCTTGGTAGTAAAAGATATTTCCTTTGATTTGTGGATGATTACACTCGTATAATGTGGATTTATTTTCTTGATAAAAAACCAGATGCCTTTAGTGTATTTTTGCAACTGAAAGCTCTTGTTGAAAGGGAAAGTGGATTCATGATGAAGACGCTCAGAACTCACCGTGGTGGAGAGTTTATCTACAAACCCTTCATGGAGTATTGTAGAAAAGAAGGCATATGAAGACAGCTTACTGTTTGGTACAAGCCCCAACAAAATGGAGTCGCTGAAAGAAAAAACCGAACAATTGTTGAGATGGCCAGGAGTATGTTAAAGGGTGAAAGCCTCCCCAATAACCTATGGGCAGAAGTTGTCTATACTGCAGTTTATATCTTAAACCGCTCTCCCACGAAGTCCGTTCGCAACAAAACTCCTTTTTAAGCCTGGAGTGGGAAAAAACTAGTTGTAGGTCATTTTAAAATATTTGGGAGCACAACATATGCATTGAACCAATTCTCAAACAAAGATAAATTTGATAAGAAGGGTGAGAAGCTGTTGTTTGTTGGCTATAGCGAGGAATCTAAAGGTTACGGACTCTTGAATCCAGAGAATCACAAGATTATCATTTCCAGAGACGTCATTTTTTATGAAACTACAACTTGGACTTGGAGAGAGAATGAAAACTCCCTTCCGGATTTTATACAAAACGTTTATCACTTGGGAGGTGATAACAATGATCAACACAGCAACATCACAAACACAACTTCAGATTTGCGGAATAATAGTTCTGAGTCAAGCTCCTTAAGCTCATATTCAAGTTCACCAAGTTCAACCAGCAATAACAGATCTGTAAGTTCTTCAAGTGCACAGTCACAAACCCCATCACCACCTCCACTTCGACGGACAGAAAGAGTTAGCAAGCCACGTGACAGCTACGGCCAATGGACGTCTCATGCAGCACAAGTAAGCGAAATGTGTGAGTTAGCTCTCTTTACATGTGAACCACATACATATGATGAAGCTACAAAAGAAGTTGCTTGGAGGAAGGCAGTGGATGATGAAATTGCCATGATAGGAAAACAAACCAGAACGTGGCAATTAATGGATCTTCCACAAGGCAAAGAGGTGATCAGTTTAAAATGGTTATACAAGACAAAGTACAATGAAGATGGGACTATTCAAAAGTTCAAGGCAAGGTTAGTTGCTAAAGGCTTCGCGCAACAACCTGGAGTTGATTTTAATGAGACATTTGCCCCGGTTGCTCGCATAGAATCAATTAGATTGGTGTTGGCCTTGGCAACTCAATTGGAGTTACAAGAAGAAGTATATGTGGAGCAACCACAAGGATATGAAGTAAACGGAAAAGAAGGAAAAGTGTACAGACTACGGAAAGCTCTTTATGGACTAAAACAAGCTCCAAGAGCATGGAACAGTAAGATCAATAACTATTTTCAGCAATATGGCTTCACAAGAAGCCCGAATGAGCCCTCACTCTACGTAAAGAAAGATGGGCAGAAGTTTCTCATTATTTGCCTCTATGTAGATGACTTGATTTATACAGGAAATGATCCCGCTATGATGATCGATTTTAAGTGCAGCATGATGAAAGAATTTGAGATGACGGATCTCGGGCTTATGAAGTATTTTCTTGGAATTCAAGTCAAGCAAACCAAAGGAGAAATCTTTCTTTCTCAAGAAAAAATATGCACAAGACTTGCTAAAAAGATTCCACATGAAGGACTGCAAACCGGTTGCTACACCTATGGCAGTAAATGAGAAGCTGAAGCAAGAAGATGGCGCAACTAATGTTAATGAAAGCATGTACCGCAGTCTTGTTGGCTCACTTCTGTACCTAACCTATACAAGGCCAGACTTAACCCAAGCGGTAAGTATGGTGTCTAGGTTCTTGAATTATCCTAGTAAGCTTCATTTTGGAGCAGCAAAACGAATACTTACTTAGATATCTTCAAGGCACTTGCTCACATGGTATCAAGTATACTAAGGAGGATGATAATGCGCTAGTAGGTTACACTGACAGTGATTGGGCAGGTTCACTGGATGACAGGAAAAGCACTTCAGCCTATATTTTCTGCTTAGGTTCAAAGGCAGTTTCATGGAGTTCAAAAAAGCAGCAAATTAGAGTACGTAGCAACCACAGAAGCAGCTTGTGAAGCAATTTGGTTGCAGAGAATGCTGGCAGATTTGATGCAAGGGCAGAAAGGTCCTACAACTATTTTCTGTGATAATATGTCAGCTATAGCCCTGGCGAAGAATCCCATATTCCATGCAAGGACAAAGCACATTGATATACACTACCATTTTATTCGTGATTTGATCAAGAAAGGGATGGTTCAATTGCAATTCATAAACACAAATGATCAGCTAGCAGCCTAGTTAGTTAAATACGGTATGAGAATTAAACGAGGTTTAATACGTACGCGTTTTATTCGGTAACATGAATGAAAAAGACGGTCAAAAATTCGTTGAAAAAAACGTTGACTTTTAAAAAACATGTAAATACTTATACGTGTATGATACGTTATCTACTACAAAAATTCGGACGATAAATACGGGTATTATTTTGAACATCTAAATGATATATTTCATAAAATAACATATATAGTAAAAAAGAAATAAAAGTATACACATATTCAAGTAGCAAATCTCATTACTGCATACAAAAGTAGTTCATAATTGCATAAGTCGATGACAAAAATAAAAACAGTAATCAAGTCTAGGACATAATTTTTTAAAAATAATGTCAAAAAATCATTATCTTTATATGATCATCAAATAATAATACTCAAGTTAAACTCATCATTTTCATTAAGATGACATATGACAAAAGTTGTGTAATTGCTACACTTATTGTTTGTGTAAAAGCTTATGCTAAAAACGTTAGGTTTAGAAAAATCTCAATTTTGATATGCTAGCTTAAAAAAACATCAGAAATCTTGTAGTATATTACTACGCAAGTTTTAGTATTTCAGGACGCTAGCTTTAGTCATCATGTAATTAATTTTAGTATTTAATAATTGCACTGTAACAATACAAAAACACAAGATCATAGGTGGACGTTTTCATTTTTACTTTTACACTATTGTTATCTTCTATCCATTTAGTGCATTCATTCAATTGGTCAATTCATATTTATATTTTTTGTAAAATACGGGAAAAATACGTTTTATATGGGAAGTATGAGTTTTTTTCCTTTTTAAACGGACCGACATTTCCCCCCTTTTAAAGCGTTTTTTTTTGTTCAAAAAAAAGGTACGTGTTTAAAACGCGTTTAAAACGAAAAAAAAAACTAGCAGACATGCTTACTAAGCCCATTACAACAGATAAGTTTGAGAGGTTTAAGGAGCAGCTGAATATTTCAAATTAAAGGGGGATTTGTGAGATAATTTGAAATTTCAACAAGTAATCTGTTCTAGAAAATGCTAGAAATTGCATTGTAGTTGTAATTACTTACATTTAATACTCTTAGGATTTATTAGGTGTCTTTTGATCTTCTAATTCCTAGGAGAATCTCTAGATCTTTCTATGTTGCCTATAAAAAGGCAGCTTATCAAAGATTTGATGTATGCTAATGAATAATAACTTCTGAGCAGAAATAAGAGAGCGGCAGCTCAAAATATCCAACATGATGGAGGTGAAAATTCATCTTGTCTATCAAAATATCCAACATGATGGAGGTGAACTCTTCAACTATATAAATCAAATGCTATGTTAACATGCACCCTTGAATCATTCATGACTCATGAGAAGTTGCACAAAACATTAATGTGATTCACATAAATGATAACTACCAAGCACAAACACTGAGAATCAAGCGGGGGCCAAAAGTCAGCTGATACAATGCCCTACAAATGGAGGGCGCTCTTAAAGCTCCTGCAATGTTAAAAGGCCAAAAGCTCTCCATTTATCCCAAGGGATTTAACACCACGACAATTTCATTCAGAACTCATCAACTATCATGGCAGATCATGATGTGTATTCGAAGGGTGGTGGTGGCTGAGGCTCCTCATCAACAGTCATCGCAGAAGCTGAGCCCTGTGGTGTGGCTGCAGACCCAGCAGCAGCAGCAACATTTGACGCTGTAGAAGGAGCATCCGTAAGGGAAAGGACTTCGGGTTCTTCAGGCCTAAGATCCTTTACTAGCACAAATCCTGAAGGAGAAGACTTCATGGGAACATATCTGCAATCTTCTAAGAATTTAATGTACTTCTCCTGCACTGGGACCACCCTGGCGGGATTTGTCAAAATCTCAAAAGATGGTTCAGGCTCTGTCTTCTTTTCTAGGGGAGTGTCTACCTGTACCCCAAAAACAATAAACGCACACACAACTGATGAGCTACCAAAGCATTGCACCATATTTAACAATGCCTAAAATATATTTTTAGTCCCTACAAGTATAGTGTTTTTTGTTTAGCTTCCTGCAAAACTATATTTTCTTTTTACCCATGTTATTAACAGTTATGTTTTTAGTACTCTAGTTACATCCATTGACAGTCTCTTTGAGCTTTAGTACAAGGGTAAGACTGCGTACATCCGACCCCCCCCCCTTTACCCCACCATTGATGGGAGCCTTTGCGGCATTGGGGTAATGATGATGATGAGGAGGAGGAGGAGTTACATCCATTGACAACAAAACAGGATTTTGTCTTGCTTTTCACGTCATCTTATTTTGTCAAAACGCTAATTTATTTACATAACATAAATGGATAGTCCTTCCTAGTAGCTGGGATGAAAACAAAAAATGCAGGAACTTAAACCAAAATGTTGTGTAATAGCAACTTAGCAAGCACTGACAATGTATTAAACATGGAATGAAAGAATGAGTAGGAGCATAAACTATTCATTTAAGCATCGAACAAGAGAATGACTATTGCTACCTGCATAGATTCCCCATCCTTGTCAGCACTTGACTTCCCCTTCAAAGATGCAGAGGATGATTCAGTTCCAGAAGTTTTCTCTGCATTTGCTTTATCTGCTTCTTTCTTACTAGCCCTGGCCTTTGCTCTTACAGAGGTAGATAAAACTGCAGTGGGGAGTTTTACTGCAGATGCAGTTGTGGGCACAGTTGTTGGTTTGGGATACTCAAACAGCGAGGGCTTGGCATGCGACATGAATTCAAATCTTGGGACCTTGAGATCATAATTCAGCCCAATAAAAGCAGTGGGTGAGAAAGCCAAGCTGATGAAATATATGAGCGGGTACCAGTACCAAAACTGGCTGAAGATTGCAAGCCCAACCACTGCAGTGATCTTATCATGTTTTGTCTTTGAAAGCAACTTTATGGTCACATTTCTCCCTCCAGCATCAAGTATTCCAGAGGCCAATATAGCACCCATCTTACTCATGGTATCTTCATGCTTATCCAGTATAATTTTCTCCAGTTGCCGCCTATGCAAATATTATAGGAGTATTATAAAAACACTGATGACGACAACATAAAACAGTAGCCTACCGATGTTTAAACAAAAAAGTAGAGGATGTGGCAATACTTGAGTACCTGAATGTACCAACTCGTGAATCACTGGCTTCACTAATTTGAACCATTACCATTGCCATTGCAATAAGAGCACCCTGACGAACAAAGTCAACGACATCTGAAGTCAAAGGTTCTAATAGTGATATGGCTTCACTCAAGCCAGTACCAGCACAAGAAATCCCTACTGCCAATGCAGCACCATATCGCACATGAGGATTGTACGACTCAGATAGCAGAGAAACAATACGGGGCGTCTGCAAATTCAACATAACAAAGAGCAATTTATGGAAAACTGAAAATTTTCAGGTAAAGGAAATAATGTTGCAAAATAATGGATCAAATGCCAAAAAATGTTACTCGAAGATTGACCAATCCCAATTTGTCAAGATCGAAATTGGAGTACAGCGGCCGGAAAAGGCACCAACCTGCTCTGGTTCAGAATAAAGAACAAATCCAAGAGCCAACACAGCAGTTCGTCTAACATCATCGCTGACATCAGACACGGCGAAATGTAGCAACTGGCGGATAGCCTTATTATTTGCTGTTCCTCTATATGCCAATGCCAATGCGTACATGCCACCATAACGCAATATTGGGTCTTGATCCCGAGTCATTTGTTCAATCAATGTGTCAGCTTCTTCCTCCCGTCCATAAACAGTGAGGGCTATCCCCAATGCTAACCCCCTATGAACTTAAAAAATGTTAAATCAAAATAATTGATAAACGGTCATAGTGTACAAATAATGTGGATCATTTGGGATGTCAATACCTGATAATTTTCTCATGCTGCGTCTCATGAGCATAAGCAAGCATCTCGCCTGCCTTCTCACTTGCAGTTCCAACCATCAGTAAACCCATGCCAATGCCGGCCGCTTCACCAGCAACAGCACTGTCAGTGTAAAGCACATTCTTGATGTCATCATAGATGTCTTCATCTGCAGTGCCCAAAGCAGCTAGCCCAAGACCTAAACAAGCGCCATGCTGAATAACCTGCAACAAGTGATCTCACATATAGAAAATTGGAGATTTTATTGAGTAAAACAACAATCAACATTCAACCAATCGAAGTAAGAGTACCTCAACGTTTGTGCTCCGCAAGCTATCCCGAAGAAATTGCTTAATACCCTCACCATGATTGGCGTGGATCAACCCTAAAGCATATAAAGCACCACCCTCTGAATAAGGACTCCCACCTCCACCAGCCCCACTCTGTGGCAAGTACGGGGCCATCAGAGATCTGCCTTGCTGCAAATGACCTCTGTGAATAACGCCTAATCCAGCTGTTGCACTAAATTTGGCCCAATTGGTTGCCCTGCTGAGCCAGTCCTGATAAATGTGAAACTTTAAGTTAGATTAGGTATAAAATATGCACAACACTATTAAGTTAAAGCCGTAACATAATTTACCAGATTTTCCCGAAGAAATGTATCAACAGTTGTTCCAGCATGCATAATTGCATTAGCATATATTGTTGCACTATGACAAACGCTATTTCTCATCTCAACTGACTGCTTAATTGTCTTGAGAATAAGGAGATCCGACCTATATGTCATTAGTAGTAATAATAATAATAATAATAATAATAATTAGAATACTAATTATATGTTATAAAAACAAAATTTAGAAATTTTCAATTTGAGAGAGAAATGTCCTACTTATTATGACTATACAAGAACTGTAAGGTCAACTGTATTGCAGTTTCTCCAGATAAAATGCCTTTGATTTTCTCCAGCCTCTCTGCATAAATTGTTTCATTTGAATCCACAACTGATGAGACCCTACTTGATGCCTGGGAATCATCCATCATATGATCATCCACGTGAGCATTGCTGGTTCCAGTTTGTGCAGTGCTATGCTCAGTAGAATCCAAGTGTACAGGCTCAGATGGTTGGAGCTTGGGAAGAGGAAGTCGATCTCTCACGCTGAGTAAGAAAGCTTGGTTTTCAGTCTCTACAAGCTCAAAAGCTATTTGAAATGCCATTAGAGCATCATTCTTATTATCTGAGCGTAGAAGTTTCTCTAAGATGGCAGCAGCATCATTTGGTTTATCCAGAAACATTAGCCACTGACAGATGCTCAAGTAATTTGGTGATGCCGACTTCTGATACACCTCAACAAGCAGACGGAGAACCTAGCATGAAAAAGATTCATACATCAGTGAGTCTACCAATCACTCAAATACATCACATTCTGCGTTGAAAATCCACAATATGTAGGAAATCTTGTAAAACAATTCCACAGAAATAGACTGAATAATGAGGACATGTAAACCTAAGATCTAAGGCAATGAAAACATTATGGAAGTGAAACAAATATCTATTAATAGGAACTATGGGAGAAAATATAATACTGTGAGATAAAAACTAAATAATTAAAATGAAGCAATTGGTGCATCGTAAAACTAGAAGGCGTTGTAGTTATGTTCACTAATCAACTACTCCCTCCGGTTCTCAAACAAGTTCTCGCTTTGACATTATGGTTTTTCAGAAAGTTAATTTTTTGCTTTTGACTTTCCATTATATCCTCACAAAAAGTAGATTAGGTCTAGTGGGGGATAAAAAGTGGGTGTAAGGTAGATAAATAAATTAAAGGTATGAGGGTAACTTTATAATAAAAAAATTCTAAACACTGAAATGACAACTTTAATTTGGGACATCCAAAAAGGAAAGCGAGAACTTGTTTGTGAACCAGGCTAATGAATGAAGTGATTATTCATGAAAGGCCCCGCCCCCTCCCTCGGAAAAAACATAACATTTACATTGTATAGCAGGGTGAGGGGTTATGACTTGTTAGAAGAAGTATAACATTACTATACCTCACGTCTAAATTCCCTACGGTTGACAAAGTTATGGGACACGTTACTACAGTATGCCAAAGCTGCATCAAGATTATCACTCCTGACAATTGCTTCAGCAACTTTATCCAACCTTCGGCACTCGATTGCCATTCCAATTGCCTGTTGATATTTACCATCCACTATGCACCTGAAAAGGTAAGGATAATATCAAAGAGAAGCCAAAAGTGAATACTATGGAACAACAGACAAAATAGAGCTCCACATACTTATCTAGCATCCTTTCCACAATGGCCTCCATCCTAGGATCCACATCGGCTGCCTCTTCATTTGCCTCAGCAGCCTTCGTCTTTCGACTGGCATATTCATCTAAAGCTTTAGCTGTGGAGGGAGATAGGGTGGTAAAAGACCAAAATAACTTAAACTGGAAAGCAAAAATGCCTAAAACAATTGAAGTGTGGCATGGTAATTGGTAAGTACAAACCCTTGCTCAAGGATACAAATGTAAGTGCAGCTTACCCAGAAGAGTGTGGACATAGTCAGACTCCTCAGAAACATCAAATAGCGGCCCCGCCCCGAGGGCATAAGATAATGAATCATTAAGATCTCCCAAATAATAGAACACCTAGAAACATACATAAGAAAGGCTGAACTGAGTGAGAACGCACGTAGTGAGAAAACATGTTATTACTTATTGGTTTTATTTGGTCCATATGTTGAGAATTGTGATATACTCCGTGTAAAAAACACTGTGATGAAACAAGATACTGATTACAAGTTACAAGGATGGCAATAATGATGATGGACATTTTCAATTTTAAACCCTCAACCGTGTATGTCTTTTATCTTTCACTTTTGGACTGATTTAAATATTACTAAGCAATGAATTATAAAAAATACCCGAGTCAAGCCCTAAAATCTAAAATTCCATTGTAATTGGGATAGGTTCAATTACAACTGTGATAATGAGACATCTGAACATCTTTCAGTCAAATATTGCTAAAGCTTTTTTTTTGGTAAACAAATATTGCTAAAGCTTTAAAATAGCAATGTATGAAGAAATAAAAAGTGAAGTGCAGCAGATGTACCTTTGAAACAAGCAATGCAGCAAGTTGTCTTTGGGCAAATTCCTCATCCTCGTACAAACTTTCACTGCACAGTGAAGTGTCAAAAAGCTATGATGCTCAAAATTTAAAACAGGCCAACACATACCTCAAATAATGAAATTAAAAGTTCAGTGAAAATTTTCATGGAAGCAAATTCATTAAAGGCTAATTTTAAAAACACATCCTGCAGATTAATGCTGTGCTGATAAATATTTATATTTAGTTTTATTAACAAAACTCAAGCAATCTTTGGTGAAGTACCATGACCAAACATGGCATAGTACCATTTTAAGGACAAACTTCTTTTCAAATTATTATTATCGGTGTCCTTTCCAAATAAATAATAAATAATTGAAATAAAACAAAATTTCGAGAGTTCCACATATAGCACCTAACATTAGATTTACTGATGCAAAATCTTCATTTTTTCAGAACCCAACCCTTAGTTATGCTATAAAAAAGTCAATCTTCCAAGTGCCAGTGCACATTCTTCCAACCTTGCAAAAGTTTCCATATTCTAAAACCCTAGATCGCTATTTTGGTAGCGACTTAAATAAAATTCTTAACTGCTCTTTGAAGAAACTATGAAGAAAAATTAAAACTTTTTCCCAGATTAAGAATAAACTAAAAAATTACAGAACCCGAAATCAAATGCATTACATGACGGGGACGGATGTAGAGATCTCCGGCCAGAAGTAATCAACAAAGGCGTTTAGATTTGTAAGCGCATGGAATTTGAGCGCAGGGTGGCTCTCGTTCAACATCGCCAGTAGTCCTCCAGCGGAAGACACCATCACCGCCGTCGACGCCATCGATGTAGGAAAACCTCAGATTCGACTGTATGTCAATTAGATGTAGAGCTAGAGAGGGGTTTTGGTCAGGACGCAGAAGAAACGGAGTAAAGATGTACTCAGAAACCTTTCTTGCCAATGCGGAAAAGGCCAAGTGGTTGTGAGAGTCCTAATTCACAGTATTTCTGAGACAAAAAAAATGGATATATGTATACATCTTCCTCAATAATATAGGACTATATAGGGATTTTCCAAAAGTGATTTTGGTGTTCAAATTAGTTCTATAATCAATATTTTTTAGAAACGGAGAGAAACCAGCTTCTGAAAACTTATTCTAATTCTTCTTCTATTTTTAAAAAAAAGTAGAAGCATAATCTATTCCAAACAACTCATAGTCTATAGGTGCATCCGTTAAGGGGGTGCGGGTGGACGGCAACACTCATAACAAATTGCATTAATAATAAACAAGGTATATGTCACTAGGGTCTAGGGGTGTATGTCATGTTCTAAAAGGCGTAAGTCATACCCAAACGGGATTTAGAGCATGAAAAATCATTTTGAAATTTATCAGAGGTATTTTTAAATATTTGAATATAATTTTTAATAATTGTATTCAAAATCATCATACTTTCCTTATTTTCAAGAAAAAAGATTTGTTGATTCCTAAATCTAACAAATACAGAGTATTAATACAGGCGGATTTTTCTTTTCAAAACAAAAGGAGAGTACAAACTTACCAATTACACAAAATAATGGTCCCTATGAATAAATTCTTGTAGTTTCTTGGGATTATTACAGAATAATCCCAACTTTATGTACCTTTCGCCAATAATGGTCCCTATGAATAAATTCTTGTAGTTTCTAAAGTGGATGAGATGAGATATAACAAGTAATCCCTATAAATAATCTCAACTTTTAATTTTTACGCTTAATTTCTATTTAAAATTCACTTTTTATAGAGGTAATATATGGTCATGGACCATTATTGGCGGATAGTCTATATAGTTGGGATTATAAAAAAATAATCAATAGTCGGGATTATTTTCAGCGCACCAGCAATAGTTGGGATTATTATTTTCAATTTTTCCTAAATTAAATGATTCATTCATTTATATGTATTCGTTCGATTCAATTTTTAGTGTAATCCAACGTTATCAATATATCCCACCAGCAAAGTTCTTTTTAGATTAAAACCTTACTTTTATTATCATGAATCGATTTTTTCCAATTTTCTTTCTACAAATAATTATGATATAAAAAGTCAAACATCCCAATGTAAAAAAAACAATGATTTTTCTAAAAAGATATAAAAAATTATTCATGAAATCGTAATTTTAACATTTTTTATCTTCATTTTAAATTTCCAAGAGCTATTATAAATTTAAATTTTAAATAGTGGTATTAAAAAGCATCATACTTTTCTTATTTTCAAGAAAAAAGATTTGTTGAGTCCTGAATCTAACAAATACGGTGTACAAATTTACCAATTACACATAAAATAGAACTGCAAAAACTAATTGGATGATATAATTTGAATATCAATAAAGAGAAATAATATCTTATATATGACCAAAATAAAGATAGTAGACAAGACAAAAATGAAACTTAGTAACTTCTATTGATTATAATAAATTTACACTGTAGTGACTATAAAAATATACTTACAGTCACTCTAGTCATAATCATCGTCCATAAATTCTATAATTGTAATATTTGAAGAATGCATTCAATAAAATGACGATTGCGAGGAAGTTCATATTGATAGCAATAAACTACAATAATAGTAATGATAATAATAGTAATAATAACAATAATAATATTAATATTAATTAATAACAAGTCTTTCTGAAAAATATAATAACAAGAATCTGAACAACAACAATATTGATAATAATAGTAACAATAATAATGTACTCCGTAGTTGTTTAGGGTATCTAGGGAGTACCATGTAAAGTCATAGTAACACAAAACGTACAATAGTTATTTGCGTCTAGTGGGTAGGCGAGGCGTTTTATTTGCGCCTCATGTCTAGGCCAGTCTTTGCGGCGTTTTTTGCGGCCCTTTACAACACTAAGTATATGGATTGAAACGCAAAGAATGTTTGGAAGTAATGATGTTTATGCTTCTTTTTTAAAAGTAGAAGTAGAATCAGAATAGAATTTCATAAGGTGATTGATGGACAGTCTACCCGGGGGGTATCCTATCCGAGGGGTTATTGCGGGAATAACTAGAGAGAAGTCAGAGCAAAAAGGAGGAGAGAGAGTCGATTTATTAAATGAACTCGAGATGTGGATCTGGGATGTCGATCGTTTACAAGGAGAAATGGGCTGCTATTTATAGCAGCAATAAATGCGATGAGAGTACACGTGTCAGTAATCCAACGGCCGAGAGGTCACATCAGCCGGGTGGCACCGGCAGTGGTACGTTCACCGCATTGAATGCGGTTGGCGGATGTGACGTGGCATTAAATGCGGTGGTTGGCTGTCTCCAAAAGGAATCTTCGATGATTGAGCGTGTTTGGCCGAAGGCTCCTTGTGTAGCCGAGGGATCCATGTGACCCAGGACCCCTGTGTAGCCGAAGGCCTTGTGTGACCGAAGGCTTGGTTCAGCCGAAGGCTTCTCTGATGCCGAGGGCCTGATAATGCCGAAGGCTCATGTTTTTCGCCGTTCTCCCAGAAGCTTCTTATGCCAGAGAAGGCTATCCTGTGAGTTTTGGAGCCTTCGGCCAAGGAGGCCGAAGGCACCCCAGTGAGTATTCTGGGCTATTTTGAGGCTTGGGCCGCCGCATTTGGGCCTGAGTTGTTCTCTGGGCTCAATGGACTTGTGTAGGAGAAGTAGGAGTCTATGGGCCGGGGGTTCCTGGGCCATATACTCCATCAGTGATCTTCCACAACTTTTAAAAACCTGCTTTTAGGAGTGCTTTGGAACACTCCGAAGTATTTCTGCACTTTCGACCAAGCATTCTACTATCTATTTCTACATCTGTTTCTACCCCCTAAAGAAGCAGAAGCAATTTTAAGAAACAAATTCAAAGGATAACATGTAATTTATTTAATTCTATTGAAAATTTAAAACTTTCTCAATTTAGAATCAACAAGTTTTATGAACGAGACAATTATGGGTTTGTTTGTACACTCTATACATATTTTCATATTTTATTCTTATTTATGAAAATTTCTCAATAGTAATCAAACCAAACTTGAATGGAAAACTTCAATCCTCCATGTATGTAGTGTGCGAGGTTAAAATAAGGTACTGTATATGAAATTATGTTTGGTTTTTCATTTTCTAAAAAAATTATTATGTATATTTTGAGTGTTTTTATATATAAAAAGGTGATTCGTGTATCTGTCAGAATACGAGTATATATCGAAAATGTAAAAATATTTATTAAAAAAGTTGAAAACTTTTAATAAATTACACATACGGCCCGAGAACATATGGTACGAGTAATCCTAGAATATCTGATATGAGAATGTTTTCGATACGCCGATACGACACTTTAGCGAAGTATCTGTGCTACATGGATTGTCATAATTGCCACCCTATGCACTTCGTGTATTCCTTCTTTTGAGTTTTGAACTTTATTGCTCATTGGCATTCCTCATATCGCCATCCAGCCTTGTGTAGAGGTGAAACTGGTCTCGTATGACTCACATTTTTACTAAATTAGAAAATTACTCGTAAAATATCGAGTTATGAAAATTAAAACTCGAACAAGGACCAATATGTTCGGTTATATCGGATTTTTTGTAGACCGGATTCATTCCAGGTCCAGGTGGGACCAATTAAAATCCGACGAGAAAACGTCACCTTGTCCTTTTACATTTTAAAACATATATTCAAATAAAATTACTAAATAATACAAATCACAAATAATAACACAAAACATTTGTCTCTAAAATGACTAACAATTTAAATCCAAACAAAATAATTTGTCTTGATGTTGCAATTAAGACACAGATGAATAAATAATACTGCCTTCGTCCCCCTAAGTTTGGGACAAAAGGGTGTGGTGTGGGTTTTAAGGAAAAGTAGAATTGTGTGGTTGATATTGAATTGATAATGTGTGAATAAAGTAAGAATAGATTCTAACCACTCAAACATTACCAAATATGGTATGAGACAAACTTAATGGAACGGACGAAAAAGATAAAACGGGACAAAGTTAGGGGAGGGACGGGGGAGTAGAGTTTTATTTTCAAAAATGTCACTAAATAAAATTTACGGATAATATAAAAATGTGGCTAAATTTACATGAGTATATCTTTAGTGTCACTGTCTTATACAAATTGAAGATATTTATAATCACTAAAAGTTATTAAGTCGCCTTTTCATCACCATGACTATTCTATTCATATATTAGAAATTATTTCAAAATAATATTGACATATTATATTGATTTTATATTAAAAGTAATTGTTTTGGGTTTTTTACCGGTCCAGGGCCGGTCATGGGGGGAGGTAGCCTAGACATTTGTCTAAAGCCTCGAAATTTTGTAGGCCCCCCATTTTTTAAAAAACAACACTATATACATTTTATCTTTCATTTAATTAATTGAATTCCTTAAAAATTAGTTTGTTGATGAAACAAAATAAATCATCAAGATTAAGCATATTTGATGATATATTAAAAAATAATCACAAATATTTGACCTAAATAAGAGTGAAAAAAAGGGAATCAAGCCCCCTACTAATACAGAAAAGTCAATTAAGCCCCTGAACTCAAAAAACACTCAATTAAGCCCACGAACTATAAAAAACGAGGCAAAACAGTCCTTTTAGCAGGTAATTAAGCGGTTAAAAAGAGATAAGGAAAAAAGGAAAGAAAGAGAAAAAGAGAAAAAGAAAATGTAAAAGCATGCCACATCATTTGCCAAACATGCAACTTAACTGGGAACGGTTAATATCCTGCTAAAAGGACTGTTTTGTCTCGTTATATTTAGTTCGTGGGCTTAATTGGATGTTTTTTGAGTTCGGGGGCTTAATTGACTTTTTCGTATTAGTATGGGGCCTATTTGACACTTTTCCTGTGAAAAAAATGTTAATCATAAAAAATACTTTAGTCACTGTTAGTAACGTAACTTTAGTGACAATGATTGTGTTAACTATAATGCATATGCATAGTAATTATATTACTATCTTCTTCTCATTCAAAGGTTCTCATTGCAAAATGGTAGAATTATATAGACGATAGTTGAATATGCTTAT